GGGAGGAGCAGAGGGAGAGGGACAAGCAGACTCTGTGCTGAGCTGGCCCCACGCAGGGCTTAATCTCAGGAGCCTGAGATCATGACCTGAGTTGGATGCTTAGCCAACTGAGCTAGCCAGGTGCCTCAAGAGTTTGTGTTTTAAAATAACACATTATTTTTAAAAATACATAAAACACTTTTAAGTAATGTTTTTACATGTAAATAAGAAACTTAAAATGTCTCATAAACCCTCCACCCAGTGACCCCTGTGGATGGTAATAGTACTGCAAATACAAAATAAAAACTACCTTTCCATCCTTCTCTCTATGCTCTAGCCTTATCCAATAGTCATGTTTTTGTGATTTCTTTCAGAAAAAAATTTTATTCTCAAAGAGATTATCTATCTTTCTAATTATTTTTATACAAGACTATCATAAACACTGTTAGACACCTTGCCTCTTAACTTAGTAATTTATCTTGGATACATTTCCATCAGCACCTAACAAGTTTATCTTAATCTTGTTAAATGGCCCATAGAATTCATCACTGGGGTGTCCCAGAGTTTAGCTAACCAGCCCTCCAATGAAGAACTATTTGGTTCCAGGTTTTTGCTATATGAACAACCCTATAGTGAGTATCTTTGTCTGTATATCTTGAAAAACATCTATGAGTCCAGCCATAGGCATGACATCCAGGGGCAGGGTTGTTGGACAAGGGGTGTGTATACTTTTGGGTTTGAAGGCAAACACCATATTGCCCTCCAGAGAAGTTCACCCCCTCAGCCATGAAGAGCATGCCTGTTTCCCCAACATTCTTGTCCGCAATGGGTATCATAGAAGTAAAAAGAAAACAAAATCTATTATTCCAATAGCAGTAAAAATAAATAGGAATAAAATTGATAAGGTACAATATCTGTGTGAAGAAAACTTTAAGATGTGCCTGAGGGACCCCAAAGAAGTCTGGAATAAACAAAAATTATGCCTTGTACTTGGACAGGAACTTGTGGTATGATGAAAATAGCGTTTCACCCTCAGTTAAGCTATAATTTGAACACGATTCAATAATATCAATGAGATTATTTTTAGAAGGAGGGTTTGATGAACTGGTTTGAAAGACCACTTGGAAAAAAAATAAGAATAGACAGGAAGATTCAGAAACTAAACAGGAAGATTCAGAAACTAAACAAGAAGATAGGAAGTTACAGGGAATAGCCTGACCAGATATTAAAACATAACACTAAAATTGTTAATACAGATTAATGGATCACAATCATAAACTTAAATATATTCAGGAATATAATAGATGATAAAATTGGCATCTCAAATTAATAAGGGAAAGGGGGTGGAATGTTGAATTCATACTGCATAGGTTACAAATTGGATCAAAGACTCATATCCAAAAAATGAAATACGTAATAACAGTAGAATTGTTTTTTAATCCCAAATCTCTCTGCTATGACACAACACTCAGAAGTCATTGAAGACAAGATTGAGAAATTCAGCTTCACAAAAAAAAAAATTCTTCATGATAAAACGCAGCTTATGCAAAGTCAAAAGACAATAAATTGGGGAAAGCTATTGCAATTTCCTAAAGATGTAAATTTCCCAATATATAAAGAGTTTCTACAAACCAATAGAAAAAAGGACCGATAACCCAATAGAAAACTAGGCAGAGATTATGAACAGTTAATAGAAAAGGTGACACAGATGGTATTTAAACATGAAATGTTCAATAAGAAAAAATACAAGTTACATAGAGAAATACAAATCACCACTGTAGGAATCATTTTTTCACTACGAGATTAGCCAGAGCATGGAAAAAGGAATACCTTTATACATCACTGATAGGAGGTAAATCCATGCTACTCTGTGGAAGAAGTCTGGCCATATCTGAAAAAATTACAATGCTTTTATCTTTGGCCCAGCAAATTCCTAGGTATGGAATTCCTAGGTATGATGTACTGTATGTGCACACGTGTGAAATTATGTAGGAACGATATTTTTCATCAGCATTATTTATAAAAGCAAAAGTTTGAATAACCTATGGTACATCATACACTGGAACACTGTGTGTCTGTCAGAAGAATGAGAAAAAGCTCTGTGTGCTGCTGTTGAATGGTTTCTAAGAAAAGTATACTGTGAATTGATGAAAATTAGCAAAAAGCCATATGTGTAACACTATGCTACAATTTATATAAAAAGGGAGGGAGATATATAGACATTTTTACTTGTATATGAATTCAGCAGTTGTTAATGTGTATACAAAAAGTGGATAATACTGATTGCCTCTAGGGAAAAAGTCTGAAGGGGGATAGGGCTGGGATGTACACTTTTAACTGTGTATTTGCTTACACCTTTTGATTTTTGATTCTTGTCTGTCTTTCTCAAAAAATTGTTTTAAATCCAAATCTAAAATAATTCAGTAGGTGAAAAATATGTGTTTTGCATAGTTCTACTGTGGAGTTAATTTGGGTGCTTTTTCAGATATTGATTAGCTTTTTGTGTTTTTTAGGCAATTGCCTCTTAGTATATTTTGTCTTTCTCTCTCTTCCCTTCCTTCCCTTGCCCTTCCCTCCCTCCCTTGACCTCCCCTCCCCTTTCCTTCCTCTTTCCTTCTTCTCTCTTTCAGTGATTTTTTTTTGCAAATTAAGGAAATTACCCCTTTGTCTTAAATGTCACAGAAATTTTGTTCCAGTTTGTCTTCTGCAGTTGTCAATGCTGTGTTGCCACCTGGGAATTTTATATTTGCATGCAGTTGTCATTTTTTCCTCCTCCTCCTTTTCTTTCTTTTTTTATTTTTGAGGGGGTGGAAATGACTTTTCCAATGTGATCTCTGAGAAGATTGACTCTAGGTTTAAACTATCCAATTAGCAACACCTTTGGATGAGTTGGAAAATAATCTGCTGTTTTTTTAAGTTCTCTTTGACGACAGTAGTTAAGACAGGAGTAAACTCATCCTTAGTAAGAAGTGATCTGGAGGTCTGCAAGGGCAAGGGGAGAGGGACTTGGATGGGGGAGGGTGGGCCCTTTTTTTGCGTCCCTGATAAACCTCTCCTCTCTCCACCTCCAGCTGAGCTCCCGAGGTCCTCGGCGGTGAGGCTGGCCTCCCTGCACGACCTGCCCGCCCAGCTCCTGGAGCTGTACCAACAGGGCTTCTCACTAGTGGCCCTGCACCCCTTCGTTCAGCCGACCCATGAGCGGGAGAAGACACCCCTCGAGCACATCTTCAGGGCCATCCTGATCAAGAAAACTGACAGGTAAGTCCTCTGAGATGAACCGTTAGCTTCGCATTGTGAGGTGGCTGATGCGTGTTGAATGGAGGAGGGGAAGTGAGAAGACTGGGGGTAGAGAATATATTTGAAATTTTCATGGTGTCCCCAGGGCCTCTGCCCTCTGACAGGGTAAGGCAAAGTGATAGACAACCAGAGAGAAGTTTCACAGTGTCCTGCGAACTGTCCACACCCGACTGCATGAGTAGAGATTTCCATATTATATCCTGACCCTCTTTTAATTTACTGGATTACACTCAATTAGAAAGATGCCTCCTCTGAAGAGGTGTACTCCTAGAATATGCAGCTGGTGAAAGTATCATACTGTTAATCTGAAATGCAAGGCTACAAAACACACTATTTTTTTGAAGGCTATATACAAACTTATTATCTTCCTCCAAACTCCAGAAGTACTTGGATATTTTAAACTTACCGTATGTTCTGTCAGTCACTTGGGAGGAGAAATAAAACCCACTTGAATCAAGTGCTTTGACTGATTTGTCTTCATTTTAATTTTCAAGGCTTTGAGGATGTTTTCAGTATGGCTTGTCCAGTTGAATGCTTATTCTTATGTTTTTATTGGGTCTAATTAGGAAAAGAGAGTTGGAGGTTGGTTTCGCAAAAGGAGTAGTATTAATTTTAAGTGATTTAAAAAAAAAAAACAACGAAGGTGGGATAGTAAGCACGATATGTTTTTGTGTTTTATTTTGAAATAAAGTCTGGAAAAAAATCAGATCTGTCCTTCGGCCAACCATCATGGGAGGAATGACAACTTCCGCTATAGTTTAAAAAGAGAGAGTGCAGAGTGACTGCTTCTCTTTCTTTCTTTTTAAAAGCTACTTTGCCTGGTAGACAGACATCTGGCTTGTGAGCTCACAAGGGACACCTGGGTGACTAAGACGGGCTCCTCCTTCCTGGCCAATAGCGTTCATTTCTTCATGGCTGATCAAGCTCTGGGCTCTCAGTCCGAGTCAGCCTGTGTTGGAATTTGAAGTGAAAGATGGCGGACACCTTTGCTAACGTCCAGAATTACCATGGTTTTTGTAGAGTGAAACTTTTCTCAAGTCTGTCTTTTTTGAATATTCATTTCTTGATGTGGATTTGCTATATCCAGGTCAATCACCAGAGGAAATTACTGTGGGAGCCACGGTGATTTTAGATTTTATACCGACACACAGGGTATGCGTGATTATCATAGGTCACCCGTATGGAGTGCTTACCATATGCTGGGCTTTCCAGGTATCATTTCATTCTCATAAGCAGCCTTTGAAAAAGGTACTCTTTTTATTTCCATTTTAAAGGTAAGGAAGCTGAGGCCCAGATGTTGACTTGTTTATCAAGGTCACACAAATGGCAGCAAGCAGAGCTCTGACTGGTCCCAGGCAGGCTGACTCCCATCTGAACCCTGATGTGAAATACTTCCTGTGTTCTTGCCCCCCATGATTCTGTGGACAACCCCTTTATAAAAAAAGCGGGGAAGATATCTTTTGATTTTTAGATGAGGTAGTAATTTCATTATTCCACTTTCCTCCATTTTACCACTCAATAGTCTCAAGTAAGTCAGAATTTCAGAAAAGAAACAAAATAAAACCAACCTGCCATGTACCTTCAATGTACCTTTCGCGAGGCATTCACTGGATATCAGTGTTTCTGCTTCTTTCATCATTCCATTGGACTTGATGTTTAGAGGGGAGGGTCCACTTTGGTCACAAGAGTATCCCTCAGTGTAATTCTACCACAGGTGATGTTAGGATGGGATTTGGCATGAAGTCAGCACATCATAAATGAATTTGACTCTAAATGTGAAGATGTGTTTTTTTTTTTTTTTCTTTTTTTTTGCTAGGGAGTAGCACCTCTCAAACTTTGATATGCCTCCTATTCATCTCCTAGAGATGTTGTTCTAGTGCAGTCTGATTCAGCAGGTCTGCGGTTGGGCCTGGGACTCTGCACTTCCAGCACATTCCTAGATGATAGCAATGCTGCTGGTCCATGGATCACACTTAGAGTAGCAAGAGTGAGAGGACCTGACTAATTCTTGTCCGGCTCCATGCCTGATACTCACCAACACTACTGGGGATCGCCCCTTCCCTGCTAGGGAGAGTTTTGAATACTGATAAAGGTGAGGAGGAACAGAGGGCTCCTGGCTGGAGGGCCCATGTTCTATGCTGCACCTAGGTGCCAGGGAGTGTTGCAGTGTCAGGGACACATTAGTAGATTTTTCTGGTACTGAATGATTTGCAAGGCCTGAACTAATTCTCAATGATCTGATCAGATCGAGGTGGGTGAGAAAGCTCCTCTTAAGGATTAAGAACTGTCACTTTTGGGACTAGTCCATAACCAGCCAGCAGTGGAGCTGAAGTGTTCAATAGGGTTATTATTTTTTTTTTTTTCACTTCCACTGAGGACAGTCCCTGAGTTAATGAACTTACTTTCCAGGAAAGGAAAATGGGTCAAGCCATTAAGAAGAATGAGACATGAGTGTGCAGGAGGGTTTTCAAGAAAGAGAAGATGGCATTCTCCTTGGGTTTAAGTTCACTCTAGTCTACAGTGCCTGGGGTCTACATACTGCTGGATGGCTTTAAGGAACATCCCAGATTCTTAATAAGCAGATTCAGAGAAAGAAATCCCTTGGATAACTTTGTGCCAAATCTTTGAAACTGCTCTCACCCCTCACCCTGTTGCGTTTGTTTTTTTAAAGGAAATTGCTAAAGCTTGTTCATTTGTCGTGATAATGAGGCAAAAATGACCAAGAGATTTTCCCCCACTTCCATTCCCCATTAGCATTGGGTGAGAGGAGCGGTGGTGGGAAGCAGAGTCATTATACAATATCATTTTAAGGGACAGGCATTTTCTCTCCTAGCAAACGTAGTAACCATGTGTTTTTGCATCCCGAGGAAAAGACCCCACACTATTAAAGATAAATAAACAAAAAACAACAGAGCTTTTTTTATATCGGTAGGGGAGTTTATGTGGTAGAGACGAAACAAGGGAAATATGTGATTAATTTTTAATAAAGACTGTTAAAATGATATTTTTCACAAAGTCTGCCAAAGTTCTGACAGCTGTAGTTGCTGTTAAATGAAATGATTTAGCTGTCAAAGAGGAAGTCAATGCCTGGTTAATATTTTCTAACTGGACACTTTTTAGAGTACTGTCAGTCCAAATAAAGTTCATTTGCAAGAATTATCATGGGATGACAACTTCAAACTTGGATAGGAACCTCAATATGTTTGAAAGGTGAACATAAAGTTTTTAGCAAATAACTGGCCTTTGGGATCTGTAGCAAGACCAGGAAAAAGAAGAGAACCATACAAGCTTACATTCACTCCCTCACTCATTACTTTGCAAACACTTACTGAATTCTACTCTTTGAAGGTATTTTGCTAGGAGCTCTACTCGGTGGGGAGGTGGAGGGTGCAAGGTTCAACTGGATAATGGAGCTTGCCTTCTAGATACCTGTGATTTAACTGCGAAAATAAGGCATGCACCTTATGCCATGGGAAAAGGAGAAGTCACCTCCGCCTGGAAAGGAAACAAAGGAAATGTTTCTGGAGGAAGGAGCTTTTAACTTGGTCCTGATTTCTTTGGGGGCAAAAATAGGAGTAATGTGCATGAGGCAGGAAGAGTTTATTTAGGTCTTATAATGCAGTGTCTCCTGGTGGAGTTTGGATCATTTGAGAGCACTATTGACAGTCGGACTGGTTTATTAATGAGTCACCCCAAAAGCTCTGTGCAATAACATTCCTTTGAGCCCTATACCATTTTGACGAACTTTACTTAAATCCATGAAAAATTACCTGATCCCTTTTCTTAAAAAATCTGATAAGTGCCATTTCATTTTAAGATGTCAGGCCAACCCACACTCCTAGTACAAATTGTTCTTGATCCTCGGTGTGTTGAATTTACTTGAAAACTGACTGAGGAATGAAGAGCTGGATTTGAAATATTTAATGAATAAGTAGGAAGAGAGTTTGTACTACTTTTCCGAAACTCTTTCTTTAGAACACTTAGCGAATTTTAACAGACAGTATAGTTAGTGTTGTTTCATTTACTCTGAAGTCTAAGTACAGTTAAGTTGTCCTTCATGTTTTTCGGGCAGTTTTCCTTAGAATGAGTTGCCAAAGATCTCAAAACTTGATGGCTAAGAGAAGTCACTTATTAACATGTTACTTCTGCTCTTTCGTGAGTGTGGGTTTAATTCTAGGCCGTTTCATGGGTGTAGGCATGAATACAAAAACGCACTGTGCTGCTCCATTTTTCAGCAGTTGTGTTGTCATTGTTCACACGTAGAGCTGGTTCAGGGTGTCTGTGATGTGTTTTTCATCACTAATGGGTTGAAGGTCCCCTGGGATATCGCCTCATATGGTACAGGGGACCACAACATCTGTGAACCCTGTGGACATTCATCGGGTGCCCTTTGGCCTCAGGTGAGGGGGTGGGGCGCACAGAGGAGCTGCTGCTGATGCAAGGGGTGGGATGCGGAAACCCTTGTGGAAGGTGGAAAATGCATATAATGAAAACTGCTCTTGAAAATCTCTTTACTTGCCCATGAAATGTAGTACTGGAGCATTTCTCTCCCTGACCGATGCATGTTTTCCTTCAGGACGAGATCAGATTGGTGTTTCCAGCAATGAACCCCGTGGGGAAGTAAGCTGGTTTGGTTTAGAGTGAGTGTTCCTTAGAATCGCACCTCAGGGGGTGAGGTATTGCACTTGGATAGGCGTTGGTGGGAACTGAGGTGGAGGGAACAGGATCTCCTCGCCTCCTGCCTCATGTCCATTCTGGGACACATCTGCCTGTTGACTAGAACAACTGACTCCGTTTTAAGTGGCAAACGGTCCTCTCTTTCAGTGAGATTTGTTTAAGATAAACATGTGTGGTGTAGCTTCACTATGCAAAGATGACTCTAAAGAGCTCTCAGCTCTCAAGAAACTCATCTACTGGGGGAAGTGGGGGAGCGGTTGTCAAATATATATGATGTAAATGAT